CCCCACTGAGGGGCTGGCTGCTCACACGACTGCCCCGCACCCAGGGCTCAGCGCAGTAAGCAGGACTCCCCTGCTGCCACCAGGCCTTTCTCCTTTATTCACTGCTCCAGCCAAGTTACATTACACTGGGACCTGGCTCGTTACCCACCCACAACCCTGTACCTGCTGCTTTCAGCAAACCCCCGTGCTTCTTAGCTAGGCTGGGCAGGGATGGCCCTGGGCCTCTGTTCACCAGAAGCTGGGAATGGGGGCCAGGGGAGGGCTCACAGGGGGTTCCCTCCCTCTAGGGCACCTGCGTTTGGTCACTGTGGGCAGACAGGACACAGCTGGATGGGCCTTTGGGCTGATCATTCTAGCCTGCTGCCTTTACACTGCGCGGGGGGCAGGGAGTCCTGGCTTTACATTAGGGCCAGTGTTTCAGCACAGCTAGGGCTGCCTTGGCTAAGCTCATGTACCAACTCCAGAAGCAGGCAGCGGGTAGGAGACCTGACTTCCACTCAGCCTGCTGAGGGCTTAGGGCTCAGGCCTTGCTCCCAGATCCATGCTCCCTCTCTGTGAAACCGAGCTGCTCTCCCGCTGCCCTAGATTTAGCCTTGAGCCGCAGCAACCCCCTGAGCAGCAGAGTGTGGAAGAGCACAATCTCAAACCAAGGCACATTTAAGCCTTTGGACCAGGCACTTAAGGCACATCCAGGCAGCTGTCACCTCCTAGCTCTGATCGCGGCGAGCCTCTCAGCTCTACTCCACTTCAGTGTGGCATGCACAGCTGGCTGCCGGTGCAGGGTGGGGACGGGGCGGTGGCTTAGGGAATGTGACATTTAGAAGACCCGTGGAGAAGCCAAGTCTTTCAAGGGGAGGAGGTGGCATAAAAGGAGCTGGCCCGTTCCATGGCCAGGAGGGGGCACACCCTGGGGCCCTGATTGTATCAAACAATCCCCAACAGAAATGCCAGCCCTGCCCAGCAGCACAGTGGGAGCTGTCCTCTTCACACCAGATAGGGGGTATCCAGTACC